CGTTTTCTGTACATCCTGGGAGCATTTGCTGAATTTTTTTCACAAATCAATAGTTGAGACAGACTACAAAATGAGTTAAGACTGGAGTTTATAGCCACAAAGCAAAATCCCTACAGTCCTACACGTTCCCAAGGTAATGGGAGATCTAACTGTGGGTTCAAAGTACTGTGCAGGGGCCAATGAGACTGCTCAGCAGATCCGGGCTCTGTGGCCAAGTCTGACAACTGGAGACTACTGCCCAAAACCTACATGGTACAAGGAGAGAGCTGACTCCCACAAGTTGTCCTCTGACCCCCATAAGAACGATCACCATGAAACACACACACACACACACACACACACACACACACACACACACACACACACACACTCCATAACTCTATATATATTTTAAATAAATAAAAGGTACTGTCCAGCAACGCTGAAGGGACACAGAGACAGTGGCACAAAGGTTAACAGAGCCCCAGCCACACCTATCCCATCATGGCCCATACCTCTCTAGACAGTCACTGCACCAAGGAAATCAGCAGCCACTCCAAGACACAAAGGTCCTTTACAATAGAGCAGTCAAGGGGGAGGGGAGGCACCAGGGAGACAGGAGCCAGCGGTGTGTATCCCCATCCTAGGGAGTACTCAGAGAGCAAGCACACACGGCTCTGAGGGCGCCCTCCACCCGGCTCTCTGAAGTCCGAAGTTCGCGTGTGTGCCTGACAGGAGCTGCTGCTTGCCGTGACTGCTTGAGTCTCCATGATTCACAGCAGGGAGGGGAAGCTTGCTTCAGCCGTGTGTCACGAGGATGGCTATTCCACAGAAGAAAAATTGTTCCTGCCAACCTGGCAGACTGCTCAGGGGACTGAAAACCTGCGTGCTGGAGATGAAGCAGCTTAGACACTGTGACAAGGGAAAAACTATTCCTCGTGCTGGCCAAGACCACAAAGCCTGTTTGTGTTCAGTACGACCGCCATGTCTTACTCATCCACTGAAGGACTGAAGAGCAAGGAGATACACCAAGCCACACCCGCAGAAGTCATGGCAGAGTGGCATGCCACGGCCTGAGCAACATTACAGCAGAGCCGGGGCTCACATGGGCTAATCCAAGCCACCACACCTTAGCTGGGAACGCTCCTTATTCCTCAAGCAGGGACTTCTAACAATTACTTCCTCTAATAAAATCATCCACATAAAAAAACTCATAAATCACATACTTAAACATGATCCAACGTGTTGACTGCTCATGTGTGTGCTGGCTCTTGTGCGTGAGCTTACATACACACACACACACACACACACACACACACACACACACACACACACACTCTCTTCAGTATATTTGTCCCATTACTATTAACATTTTGGATCCTAAGTCCTGGAAGACAGAGACTGTCTAACTCATTTATATTCTCTGAGGATCTAATCACAAAACTCTGAGATTACAATAATGTGATTTATTGTGGGCAGATACTAGCTTTTAAACGTGAGACTCTCTGAAAGGTCACGATCCCTTTGATCAGTTTGTGCACACTCAATATTGCTGTGTACAAAGCCCCGAAGCATCACCAGAAGCCTCCACTGGGACTAAGAACATAACTAAGGGCTGGAGAGATGGCTCAGTGGTTCAGTGGGTCAGAGCACTGGCTGCACTGGCTGCTCTTTCCAGAAGACCCATGTTCAATTACCAGCATGCACATGGAGGCTCACTCCAGTTCCAGGGGCTCCAACGACCTCTTCTGGCCTCTGCAGGCATTGTACAAACATGCATGCAGGCAAGACACGCACACACATAAAAATAAGTAATTTTTTAAAAATGAAATCAAAGCCGTATCAAGCTCTCATTTCTTTTAGAGTAACTCCAGGCTGTAACAGGTACAATAAGTCAGTGCTCACCAAGAGCTCAAGTCCTTGCTCTCTTCTTGTCTTCTCTCTCTCTTTGGGTAGGACAGGGTGCCAAGACAGCAGCTGGCCTGGAACTCACTATTAGACTGTCTCCCAAGTGCCGAGATTAAAGGTGTGTACCACCACACAGGGCCAGTAGCAGAAATCTGATACTTTCTGGTACAGGTTAGAAAACAGACCACAATGCTGGGGGCGGGGGTGTCAGGGTGCAGCTTGGTGACAGTGGTCTTAACTAGCATGAATCAGGCCTGAGGTTCAATCCTCCCCCCACCAAGGAGTTGGGGTTGACCACTACAAAAACTAGATGCAAGTTTTTTTTGAAGGGCAGAAATGCTGTCACTGGGCAGGCGCTGAGTTTACAACCAATCGACCACCCATCACCTGTAATAGTCAGACAACAATGGAGAGTGACAGTCAAGTATCAGCAACAGTGTCAAGTCCACATCCTGACCCAGACACCTGGACATAAATTACAGGGTCGGCACCTCCTGCCAACATGGAGGACAGTCCTGTTTTCTACAGCTATTGATGCCCAGGAGCCAGGCAGCACCCTAGCAAGAACAGAAACATCAGTGTCAGCTGACATGCCGTCTCATGGCCAGGCCTTGCTCCCACAGCACAGGGCCACAGGGGCGCCTCTTGAGGGCCCCGGGACTGACCACCACCCTCTCTTGCTGGGCAGGGCCCTGGCATCTGCTCCTTGCAGTTATATGTCAGACCAGGAAGGGGAAACCACGCAACACCAACATCTGCTTTATGGATTCTGAATCCTGAACCCATCAGAACCTGCCTCTGAGCTGACGGCCACAGGAAAGGAGATGCACCAAGAGCAGATAGAATTACCAGGGCTGAGAAAGTCACTTTTATAAAGTTACGGAAAGAAACGGAAGGACACAATGACAGATCCATGTCCCACTACAAGGTGACCCTGCCAAGATCATTTCACAGCTTTTCCATTCCCAGCCTCACTCTTTCCTCAGAGCCATTCTGACACAGAGAATTTACAGGGCACTTAATGCTGCTCTACTGTCAATGTTAATGGAAAGCACCGGGTACTGGGAGCCTCCGATGAGAGAGGGCAGGAACATCAAGCCCTGGTCTACCTTCCAATGTTGTCACCAAGTTTACGTCACTGTCAGCTCCTCCTCCAAACGACGGTCAGGGCAGAGCCTTACAGACAGTGTTCCAGCTGTGGAAGAAATGCCTGAGGGATATATGTGCATGTGTGCATGCACACATGTATGGCTGCACTCACCTGTGTGTGTGCACATGGGAGGTGTCTTATATTGTTTTCTATCTTATTTTTGGAGACAATGTCTCTCAGTGAATCTGGAGCTCACCATTTTGGATAGACTGCCAGCCAGTGAGCCCCTGGGCTCCTCCTCCTCTGCCCCTCTAATGACAGGGTTACAGACATGCATCACTGAGCCTAGCTTATCACATGATGCTAGAGACCGGAACTCGGGTTCTCATGCTAACACTATCCACTAAGCTATCTCCCAGCTGAAGCGTAACAACTTGGTTCAAAGGGCTCACTCGATTCTCATTCCCGTGAGGATGATTACAGAGTAACAGGCCAGTGACTAATGCAGGCCACTTAATGTAGGTAAGAACCACACCGAACAGATCTCCGGTCAGTGCTGTGAGGTCCAAAGTCTCCCGTGATTTGCAAAAGCAAAGATGGACTCACAGAACCTTCTGTGGATGTGGAAGCTGAAGGATCTGTCTGAATTCAGCGGAAGATTAGCCATTCAGAGTTTATTTTGGGCTTCTTAATTGGCTTGTTCCATTTCTTTGAAGAAAAGAATGTCTTGAATTTGTCGCTCAGTTTATAAAAAGAAAAATGCCTTAACTCCAAACAGACCATGAGTCCCTGACCTGGCTGACAGGCTGTGGCTGTCCTCTCAGATGGCCGCCCTGAGCCCTAGTAATAAAAAGCCAACTTCCTGATTGTCCCTCGGTACTAATTAAGGAATACAAAGCTGGAGAGATGGCCTAGTGGTTAAGAGGATTGGCTGCTCTTCCAGATGACCTGAGTTCTAGTCTCTGTCTACCAGGTGGCTCACAACTATCTGTGACCTCAGCTCCAGGGGATCCAATGCCTCTAGCTTCTGCATACACGTGTCATGAGCATACAAATGCTTACAGACACATGCATACAAAGACACACAAAACAACCTATATGTTGTGGAATATTCCTTTACACTGTGTGAAGATATGTCACTATGACTGGTTTACTAAAAAGCTAAATGGCCAGTAGCTAGGCAGGATTTTCAGGACAGAGAGAATGCTGGGAAGAAGAAGGGGGGAAAGTCAGACAGTTGGAGAACCAGCTGGACACACAAAATGGGATAGAGGTAAAAGCCACGTGGTAGAATGTAGATTAATAAAAATATGGGTTAAGTTATAAGAGCTAGTTAAGAACAAGCCTAAGCTTTGGGCCAGGCTTTCATAATTAATAAGACGTCTCCAAGTGGTTATTTGGGAGCTGGCAGGGAGGACAGACAAATCTGCCTACATCTATATGGCAGTGTTTGGACACTAAACCTTACCTCTAGAGCTCGGGACTCAACAAACCCCTTCCTCCTACTGCTAAGGAGAACAGGAGCACAGAGGCTCCACCTCATGCCCAACTGGGCCAGGGCTCAATGAGAGACAGTTAGGAGAGGAGCAGTGGGGACACGCTGAGGTGAAGTGCACACAGAGCCACTCAGTCAGGGCCTGTCACTGTGCCCCTTGTTAAACAGTTTAAATCCTATGCTGTGACGTGTTACCAGAACTGGGATAAATTTGAATCCTGTGTGTCTGTGTGGACACCTCCAACACCCTTGCCCTGACAACGGGGATGGAACCAGGGTCATGTGCACACTAAACAACGAGATACAACCATCTACCACTGAGCTACAACCTTCCCTCAGAACGTTTCCTTGAGCTCATGTTCCATTTACGACTCAAAAACCAAAACCCAGGGGCTGAAGAGATGGCTCGGTGGGTTAGAGTACTTGCTGGCCCTGGCAGAGGACCTGAGCTCAGTTCTCAGCACCCACACGAGGCAACTTAGAGACCAACCGCCTGTACCTCCAGCTCCAGAATGGGGCGCCACTCACCTTGTGCAGAGGGAGCACCAGGAAGGCTCCTCCCCCACTCGCTTCTATGATGATGGCGACAAATCTGGGGTTGACGGCACAGAAGGAACTGTCCCAGGTCACTCGGGAGACTCGGATGTCATCATAGCACTGGTCGTTTTTCACCGCCTGTCCGAAGACGTGCCGGAACTTGCTCTGCCGCACCACTCGCCGCATCGTGTCTGGGAAAAGCAGAGAACCACATGAGAACCATGGGCCACCAAAGCTGCAATAGGCAAGCTGGAAAAACAGAGCCCCCCGGCGTTCTGTCCACTGTGCTAAAGAGCAGCCAGACTGCAAACCCAGCTCCCTCTGCAGGGCAGACACACAGAGCAGAGAGCAACCACTGCGAAACGTGTCGGAAAAACTTACAAGGTCCAGAAGCGGTCCATGGGTTTTAATTTCAGGAGAAAGACTGAGACAGATCATGAAGGAAAATGCGTCTGTCGGGGGAGGGGAGGGGAAGGAATCACTCCACTCTTCCTATTCTGGAGACAGGAAAATGCCAAAGTGAAGTTACCTTGTAGGTGTGAAGCCAAGGCCCCAAACAAGTTCTGATCTGGTGGCTCTCTCCTCAGCCTGCAGGGTCATTTCCCAGTCTCCACAAACCCTCCTCCTCCTGACATCAGCATTCCTCTGTCTGAGCACTGTGCTGGCTTCCCCAGAGCAAGTCTACATTACCAACTATGCAGACTAAGGAGACAGAAGCAGCTGCCCTGCCTCCAAGGGCCTGCTACTATCCTCCTGAAGCAGGCTTGCCCTTCAGAGCAACCCAAACCAACCACTGGCTGCTAAGTGTCCCAGTGAGGAAGGGGAAATCTGACCTGAGGCTGCCGTGAAGTCAAGAGCCAGGTCTTAGAAAATGGAGAAGCAATTAAATGGGAAGTGGCTGATGGGGGCCACCTTCCCAAGACAGTGGGACTGGCAGTGCCATCCTGCAGGAAAAAGTTAAGAGCCAGGTGCTGGGCTAGAAGCCAGGGCAGTCAAAGACAGCTTGATGACATGTTGGCGGCGGCTGGACAGAAGGAAGGGAACAGGCCAGTGTGAAGAACAGGAGACAGAATGAGGGTCTTGTGTCAGATCATTCAACCTCTGGCAGAGAAAGCTGGGCACGGGGAATGTGGGTGACAGGTCCTGGACTCCTCGTGGGTCATTTCAGACAAATCCCACTGGGTTGCCAGATGGACATGAACACAGGAAGCTTTGTGCTTCAGGCCAAGGCCCCACCCACCTCAGGTTTTCTAGCCGGCACTTGATGTAATTTTCCTGTCTGCTTCTGTATGACATTCTGCTCAAAAGACAAACGCAACGTGCATAAAGCTAAGTGGAACTGGCATGTGGCCAAACCCTGACAAATTTGTTGAAAACCAGATCACTGTGAACAGAAGAGGCCAGCACCTGTCCATTTGTGCCCAGTGGGACATGTGGTGGGCAGTGCTCTTTCTTGTCCTCCAGCAGCCTTCCTGTGGCCCTGAACCCACTACTAGAAGCAGAAGAGTTTGCTTATGCCGGAGCCTCCGACCTTTGCAAGGCTTGTGTACAAGTGTCCTCTCTGCAATGCCGGGGCAAAGCCCGGTGGCAGGCCACAGAGCCCTGTGTCCTGCAGCCCAGCTGCTGCCAGACCTTCCCTGCTGACTCCTGGGATGTCCGCTCTGAGCGCTTGCTAGAGACGCTAAGGATGCACACTCAGCCAGCAGCCTGCCTTCAGTGTGAAACTGTACGAGTTCTTTAGGCACGAGTCAGACAGCTTCCACGGTGGCACAAACTAAGGGCACACACCTCCACACTGGCCACGCTTAGAAGCCACCGCCCGCCCGCACAGCCATCGGTACAAGTCACTAAGGCTGGAGTCCCCATCAGCATCTCCCAGTGAGTGTTTCAAAAGTCAGTTAAGGGGCGGAGAGATGGCTCAGCAGTTAGAGTGTCTACTCTCCAGAGACCTCACATTTGGTTCCCACACGTCCAGCTGCCTGTGGCTCTTGCTCCAGAGAATCCAACTCCCACTTCTGGCCTCCATGGACACCCAAACACATGTTCACATATACACATATATAAAAATAAATCTTTTAAAAAGTTAACACAGAAGAGAAAAAGACTGTACTAGGTCAGTCAATATTCTTCATGTATTAAAATATTTTACAAATTGATAAAATTAAAACCCAATAGAAAAAGCCTGTGGCTCACACCTTTAATCCCAGCACTAGGGCGGCAGAGTCAAGTGGATCTCTGTGAGTTTGAGGCCAGTCTGGTCTACAGATCGAGATCCAGGACAGGCTCCAAAACTACAGAGAGAAACCCTGTCTCAAAAGAAAAAAAAAAAACAAAAAAAAGCAAACAACACAAACAAGTAACAGAGAGAAAGAGAGAATGTACCACTGAGAGAGAAGAGAGAGGAGAGAGAGAACTTACCACCACTCCCTCCCCAAGCCCTAAACCTGACACAAGGGAATAAACGGGTATAAACACATGGGATTGGGACAGGAACGGAGCCCACCAGAGAGCACACCTGACCAGACATCTCAGAAAAGCCTGTCACTGAGCGGCTGCCCTGGGCATCCTCTACACTCAGCTGAGCATCTTGGGAGGCGCTCACAGGATTGAAGCGTACCGTAAATCCCTAGCACCGCAGGAAAGAGCGCATGTCTCAAGCCAGGCATAGCGGTGCCTATCTATAATCCCAGCACTGGGAAGGCAGAGGCAGGGGGACAGGATCTCAAGGTCATCCTCAGTTGAGCAAGTCAAGGGACCAGCCTGGGCCACTGAACCTTAACAAACCAAGCAGTCCTCTCCACCTTACACAGAGTCAAGCTCACATTCATTCTAATTATGTCCGGGCAAAAGGATACACGGGTTCTTACATTCAATAGTGAAACACAACGTTAGCTGAGAGGGCAGGGAGAAGATGCAGCCAGCTTTCCCGGGCTGAGCTGACTCAGCCATGTTGAAGTGGGGCTTGACGGGCAGTGCGAGCCAATTCATGCCCAGGGCCAAATCTAAGCCCCGCTGTCCACACGTGACACCTGCTGCTCTAGCTGCAGAGAAAGTCTCTGGCTCTTCAAACACGACAGAGAACAGCAGTTCCAGGAGCAAGCTCCAGAACCTGCGAGCATCTGTGTGAACGGCAGAGCCTGACCACAGTTCCCGAGGGCAAGCCACAGACCCTGTGTCAGAGTCTCCACCTGACAGCAGGAACACACACACACACACACACACACACACACACACACACACACACACACACACAAAGCTGACGTGATGGTTACCTGAGCACCCATGAAGGGACAGTCCTAAGAGATCGCTCTGCTACGACATCCGGTATAAATGCCATCATCCTAGTAAGTGGCCTAAAACAACCCAGACTCAACCCCAACTCCGCCACTTGTCAGCAAATTACTTCGCCCCTCTGAACCCCAACTTCCTCACCTATAGAATGAAGAGTAGTACCTGAGAATGCAAGCCGCAACGCCCAGGCTCAGTGGCTCCAAAGTCTATAAAGCGGGTTAATACCAATTTCACAAGCACCTCCAAAGACTACGTGGTCAGGAAGCACTCTTAGGCGACCTACACGCTGATACCAAACAGACATCTCACACACACGACATACAAGCCAGCACTTCTCATGACTATGGAGACAAAAATCCTCAGCAAAATGTTAGAAAGCAAATCCAGCAACACCCGAGAAGGAATTACACACCAAACAAGTGGGGCTCCCTCAGGGATGCAAGGAAAGTTGGTTCAACATATGAAAAGTGATTATGGGACCGACCACACCAACAGAAGAAAGATACAACTCACATGAGCACCACAGACACAAAGTGTTTGACAAAACACGACAAAACACTCAGCAGATGAGGAATGAAAGGGTATTTCCTCACAATGAAGACAAGAAGGAAAGCCCACAGCTAACACAATGTTGAGTGCTGAAAGGCACTCTCTCTAGGCTCATACACGAAACAAAGCTGTGCTCTGGCCACTTCTACTCAGTCCGTACTACAGGACAAACAAATGCAGCCAAGTGCAAGAACCAAGAGCAATCCACAAAAACCAGTCATGCTTCTATACACTCACAACAGGCAATCCGAAAATGAAATTAAACAATTCCAATCACAACGTTAAAAAAGGACTATGTGCCGGGCGGTGGTGGCGCACACCTTTAATCCCAGCACTCGGGAGGCAGAGGCAGGTGGATCTCAGTGAGTTCGAGACCAGCCCAGTCTACAGAGCAAGTTCCAGGACAGCCAGGGCTACACAGAGAAACCCTGTCTTGGAAAACCAACCAACCAACCAACCAACCAACCAACCAACCGATGATGATGATGAAGTGGGTCCAGGGCACAGACACAAGAACTGAAACTACAAAGCTTCCAGAAGCAAACCTCCCTGGCCCTGGATGGCAAAAGAAGCTTAAGTAACTCCACAAGCAACAAAAGAGAACGGGACACACAGACCCCCTCAAGGCCTGCACAATGGCTCAGAGATGAAGGAGAACTGACTTTTCCACGTTAGCCTCTGACCTCCACACACGTACCATGGTACATCCATCATAGCAGACACACACTAACTATATGAATAAAAACATACACAGACAATTGTTACAAACCTTAAATCTGATAAGGCACTCACTCATACCTTAAATATACAAAGAACTTATTAAAAAGGAGAGGGGAGGAGGGGGGTAACGAAACATGACCAACTAATCCTACTTAAAAATGGACTCACCAGGCGTGATGGGGTACACGCCATCAGGAGATAGAGACGGGAAGATGAGGCATTCAAAGCCAGCCTCAGCTACAGGAGATCTTGCTTTTGCCTAGCATATGTAAGACAAGACCCTGGGCATATAACCATTCCGCAAATGGATTAAAAGCCCAAAGAAAACACATCACTGTCCAGTATGCACAGGAAAAGGTACTAAGCATTAAGAGTCACTTGGTAAATGAAAACCAAACCCTCAACAAAAGGCCCCTTCTCCACCCAGAGTGGTGAAAATCCAAAAGTCAGAAGAGCTGATAGAAATGTGGGCTGCTTGAGACCTCAAATGTGTCGGGTGCTCTGGGCTCTGGAAGAGCCTTCTAGTTCCTCACACCTTAGCAGAATTAGCAACTGACACGGCACTTCAGAGAACTGAAAACAAGTCAGAATCCCAGCATCCAAAGGACACGCACACCCCAAGCGCCTGTTATTCACTGGACAAATGGATACAGTGCTATTACCCACAGAGGAGTGCTGCTTAGCAGTGAACGCACTGGCACAGTCTATAGCATGGAGAGACCTTTGCAATGTTATAGTAACAAAAGGACGGCACAGAGACCCACGTTGCCTAACTCATTTGTAGGAAGCCTGAACTAGGCAAATGTAGACAGAAGTTTGGGGGCTGTGTGGGGTAAGAACTGAAGAAAAGAGACAGGAAGCTCTTTTTCTTTTTCTTTCTTTCTTTCTTTCTTTTTTTTTTTTTTTTTTTGGTTTTTCGAGACAGGGTTTCTCTGTATAGCTTTGGAGCCTTTCCTGGAACTCACTCTGTAGCCCAGGCTGGCCTTGAACTCACAGAGATCCACCTCCCTCTGCCTCCCTAGTGCTGGGATTAAAGGTTTGCACCACCACCACCTAGCTGGGAAGCTGTTTCTTAAGATATATTTGGCCGGGTGTCGTGGCCCATGCCTTTAATCCCAGCAGTCTGAAGGCAGAGGCAGATGGATCTGAGTTCAAGGTCAGCCTGGTCTACAGAGTGAGTTCCAGGACAGCCAGGGCTACATAAAGAAACCCTATCTCAAAAAGGGAGGAGGAGGGCACGACTTATTTGTGTATGTTTATGTGCACGTGTGTGCAATGCCTGCAGAGGCCAAAAGAGGGCACCGGACCCGCTGGAACTGGGGTTACAGGCGGGTTGTGAACCTCCGCTGGATGCCCGACCCTCTGCAAGAGCACCTGGTGTGCTTAACTGCTGAACCATCTCTCCAGCACCACAGGCTTCTTTTAGGGGTCATGAAAATGTTCCCAAGCCACTGTGGTAATGGTTGCACATGGCTCTGGTTTTGTTTTGACTTTTCGTACCTTATGATTTAAGCAGATGAAATGCATGGCATGTGAGTATCTCTATAAAGGTGTATTTGTTTTTAATCTGTACAGCACCCAGCATAGACTCTGTATTCCACACTATTTTGTAAACATTAGCAACTGTTACTTGACTCCACTAACAAGTTTCCCTACCCAAAGAGAAAATCTCAATCAATTCCCTAGTGGGAGGGCACACGAGCATAATTTTCATACAAAAGAACATTGGTAACCAAGAACTCTACAAAATTCTGTGTTCTCCCACCTCAGAAACATTAGCATCTTTTTCAAACAGAGAAAAATTTGGAAACTATTCCAAAGACTAGAACTCCTAAGGGCTGCCAGTATTGACGAATGGTATTCAAAAGATCAGCTGGAAAACTAAGATATCAAAAACTAAACTAAAAAAAAAAAAAAAAGTAAAATGTCTTATCAGATTTGGGTATTATTTAAATTATATTGTCTCAAAGTGATCAAACAATAAGTCAAAAAACAGAAATGTTTTCTAAGAGACCCCAACTCTCAATTGTATGAAAAAAAAATTAATGAAACAATCCTGAACAAGGAGATACAGGTACAATTCTAAATGCCCTGCCAGAGAGGAATCCGCTCATGAGGTCTGTCGGGTATAAGCTCGCCTACCTACACAAGACCTTTCCTTTGCAAATGCTGAGAACATTTCAGCAATGAGAGGGCAGTGAGCCAGGCGTGATGGGAACTGAGGCAGGAGGATCAGAGTTTAAAGTCAACCATGGGATCAGGAGCAGATCCAAAAATCAACAAAACAACAGGGCGGCAAGGAACAGCTTGGTCCGTATAGCACTTGGCATATAAGGAATAGGACCTGAATTTGTCCCCAAAATTGATGCATGAGGGCTGTGCATAGTGGCACACTTGTAACCCCAGTGCTAGGGATTAATGG